TCTTCCTAGGATTCCACTTTCTTCTGGGATCAATAAGCATAAGCATAAGCAGCTGGATAATTTTTAACTCAAGACAGTTCTGACTGGCCAATGCCAATTACCCAAATTCCCCGTTAGCTCTTGGCATATAGTGATGAAAGGCACCTTATTTCTTTCCTGTAAAAGTTTGTATTTCTGGTCATTTTCTTGCAATACCACCTTTTCAGACATCCTTTATTGTGTGTTCTTCTTCTTCTAGTCAAGCATTTGTTCATCTTTGCATTACAAATGTCTTCACTAAATGTTCTAATAAAAAAAGTCAGCAGTTGGGTTTTTAAGAGTTTTCTCACTACATTTCTTGGTCTGAAAAAATTTTTCACTATGTGCACAACACCTTAAACCAAAAGACAACATAGACAGACTAGAGGTTTTATCTCATGTGGCTTCAAGTCTGCTATGCATGTTCTTGTAACCGGCCATGTTTCAGTATTGAATGACCTGCCTGGATAATTGTACAAGGATAATTTTACTAAAAGCCAAGTTAATCTGAGTTGGGAGGAGAGGCTTGAAACCAGATTTAGTGAGGGGACCATAGTTTCACTTAAACTGACCTTCCAGCTGGGAATGCTAAGAATATTAGTTTGGGACAACTCCTTTTATTATGCCTACTGTTGTTCATCATCTGCCTGTTTTGGATAGTATTCCTGTGCAGGGATAATACACTACCACAGATATGCTTGAGCCTTCTTCTGGAGGAGAGAAAGATAATGAAAGTGCAGCCTTGTGATAAACTGTGTGTGTGTGAAGCCTTTTGGTATATTGGGGCAGGCAACAAGCTCCCTCTCTTTGCTAGGATGAGCTGAGCCTAAGGGAGCCTGTCCCTCTGTGTGTCTCTGCTACTCAATGTGTCATAAAGTCATAAATGTATCAATCAACTCTGCATTCCAGTGGTGGCTTGGTGGTCGCCCTGGCTACCTGTGCATGTTGATTCACACAATCTGTCATCTACAGAGCCTTTTCATCTCTCATATTCACAGATTTTACTTTGTAGGTGCAGACCTCTGAAAAACTTCAATTTTATTAGTCCCTTCTTCACTTAAAAAAGACAGTAAACTATCTAGATATTATCTTTAAAGTTTTCCATCAATTCCTCAAAGTTTCCCTCTTTTATTGCACCTCTTTCCTCCTGCAGTGCACCGAACACCATGAGTTTCTCTGCCTGCCACTGCTGACTGGGGATGAAGGATCTTGGATCTGTAGTTTGTCTGTCTGGATTTCATTTAATGTTCATGTTGCTGTTTGAGCTCCTTCCAGGCATGCACTGTGTTTTCCTGGGCCATCAGGGTTCAGGGAGTTGGAGTTAATGGCCTCTGTAGAAGCCATCTGAAATGCACGGGGCCTTCTGGCACTCTGTGCCTTCTACTTCTGGAACCCCTTAAAATTTTGCTAAAAAGCATAAGTGATTTCAAAGCGAAACTGTCATTAGGACATGAAACTACATGCAGGAATGTGGTAGCACAATGTCCTGCTGTTCACTCATGGTAACTGGAGAGAGCTGTTGTGATTCTAGATCTCACTGTGGCTCCTCAAGGAAAATACGGACTCAGGGTTCAAAAGTGCACAGACCCTGGGGGTGTCACAGTGGACACGGCTCAGCTTGGAGATTGAAGATGAGGTAAACCTGCTGGTTAGCTTCATTTTTGCATCTTGAAACTGTGTCCTTGAAGTCCCAGGATGGTGCCTTTGTGTCTGATTTACTGAGAGCCTGGTTTGTCACAATGATGGAAATAGTAGCCCATGATAAATCATGACAGTGAGTTTGAACTTTGACCCTACCTAAATGGAAACAGGACATGTTCAATAATGGCAACATCATCTATCCTAGATAACCTCTCCAGCCATTCTGTGTCTTGTTTCCATTCTATATGCAAGAGAATAGGATTTTGGGGGCACATAACTCCCTATATTTCTTGCTTCTTTCTTCTCTTTAGCTTAATAAGAAAAAAAGACTATAAAATTACTATGATCCAAAGCACTGTTTTCTGAGAACATGGAAAATATTAACTTAAAAGTGCGAGGTTTTTTGATAGATTAAATGTGAGAGAAGAGATGAAAATAGTGGTTGTTCGCAAATGTTAAGAGCAGCAATGTGAATGCCATGGTTGAGAGCCAGGAGAAAAAAAAAAAAAAAAACAAGGAAGAAATTCTAATGTTAAATATTTGCCACTTCCATTGTAGAGGGCTAAAGAAAAGCAGTTGTGAGGAGCAGTTCATCAGCTTGTGGAGTCTGGTTTGCATTAGTGACCACCAGGTCACTCCAGTCCACCATGTTGTCTTCACATATTGCACAACTGTATATTTATTTTGTGTGGAGTAAATCACAGTTCTGAGGAAAGGAAATCAAACATCCTTCTATGTTAATGCCCCTAATTTATGCAGATATATCTAAATAATTTTTGATACCATCACATGAGATATATAAATGTGTCCCCTGGGAAAATAAATTCACTGACTTGACCCAGCTGCATCTGCTTTGATCTGCTCAGCACAACACTGATCCAAAAGAGGCTTCTCTTGTGATTTAATTCCATCTTAGGGAGAGTTTCCCTGCAGTGCAGTTGGGGATGGGTGGATTTTGGGCCTGGTTACCTCTCACAGATGAGCAGTATTGAATGGCAGACAACTCAAGAAGACCTGTAAGCGTGTCCTAGTCCAACCTCATCCCTAGGCAAGCTGGCATCCCACCACAAGTTATGGCAAGTCACTGCCATCTGTACTCTCTATTGGTGTACTTAGTAGAGGGATATTCCCTGGGCTTCTTGCAAGGTCCTGTATTAGATGAGTCAAATAGCTTGCAGGAAGAGGTGTCCCAGAAAAATCTGTCAGGTGTTTTGTAAACAGGAAAAAAAAAATCATTATAATTTCTTTTTACAGTAGCATTTTAAAATGTGTAGAAAAATTGATTGCATACAACTGTGATAAGAATAATATCAGATATATGGAAGAGAAATGAGGATTCTCAGTTATCTTTGATTTGTGTTAATGCTTTGCATAACATGATTTAGCTGAGGATAGCTGAAAGGGTCTTAATATAGCAACACTTTTAAGCTCTAGAATCTTTTCACTGATTCTAGACATGCTGGGTCAAGCTGAAGCTTTTTGTCCTGCGCTGAATTTCATATAGATAAAGGTGTTTGCTCCCATTCCAGAAACTGACAGATTCAATCAATTTGGGCAAAATAGGTTATGTGTCCAAATGCTGAGCTTCCAAAGAACATGGAAGAAGGAGCTGCCTGGTTCTGCAGTTTTGGAATTACTATAATTGCAACAGTTTTTTTTTTTTTTTTAACCAAGGAAAATTTAAAATGTCTCTTTAAGGAAGAAACAAAATCGCAGAAGACTTTATTTTTTTCCTTAAAAGTAAAAGCAACATTTATCTAACCTTGAATTCTTCCCTCACTTCTTCCTATGCATTTTGTTGGTCTACTTTCAGAACACATGAAAAAGCTGAGTAACTTGTTTTTTTCTCAGCATGCTATAGTTATTGATCATCTGCACCAATTTTATAACTTTTTTTTTTTTAAAGATCTCTTGACTGGAGTGATGGAGGAAGTGCTGTTTTTCTCTAAGCTGAAGTGATAAAGAGCATCACCCCCCTGTTTTTAATAATTGTGCCCTGTTTTTCCTTCTCTGTCTGTAGGTTCATCCCCCAAGTAATATGCAAACAGAAATAGGAACATAAAAACTTGATTGTTTGAAACTTTGAGCCAACACATGCAAGGTTTTTCAGTGTCTTTTTCCTGTCCAAGAGAATTTCTCACTTAGGGACCTGAAATGACAAGGAAAATTGGTTGGGTTTTGATATGTCCAAAATACTGAATCATAAGTATATGCAAAGTACATTATTGTGATCCATGCTGACTGTATTTATGATAGTTGTTATTATTATTTAATTGTAATTATCCATAGCTATTTTAAAAGTCTCCATTATCCCAGTAGTTGGGATTATATTAGCTTCATTAAGCAAAATAATTATTTGGACCCAAGTCAATAGCCTCCCTTCTTTTGCAATTCCTGCCTGAATGTGTTTCAAGTGTTTGAGCCCTGAGTTTGGTTGCTAGGTAATTGGATTTGTGTGTTTCAGAGGTAGCCCGAGGGGACAAGGTGCAGTGGTGGAGCAGCTCTGTGGAAGTGATGCCAGACTAGAGTGCTCTGAGTGCTGTCATCTGTCATGAAACAGTCTTTGGGTTTGGTCACTTACCTTTGCTCTTAGAAGAATGTGGTTAGGATGGGCTGCCTGACCAAGCCACTGGGCTCCAGCCAACAGGACAAAAGTGGCTTTACCAGATCCTCTGTGACTCGTAGGCTTTACTCCTCCTTGGAATAACTGTAATTTAAAAAAAAATTAAAAATAAAGTCACATCTGTGACTGAGGAGGGCTGTCCTGATTCAGTGTGAGCACTGTAGTCCTGTAGAGGAAGATGGAAAGACCAGAGCAAGATTGCTGTCTACCTTTCCCTCAGTGGTGCCATGGGCCTCCCGCCCTACATTTGTGAATTTACATCCCTAATTTTGGGATTTAGTATAGATCTAGCAATGTTGAGGAGAAACTGGTAGTCCTGTGTAGGTTCAGGTGCAGACAGAAGTGCGCTGGAGAAAATCAGTGGATAAACATGCAAGCAATAAGCAGAGATTGAAGATATACTTCCCTGAAGAGTTCACAATCTTTGCACAGGACATGAGAAAAGATTGATCTAGAGGGAAATACACAAAAATTGAACCATGGAGGACAGAAGATGTGTGAGTTTACTTGGCCAGCCATGCTGTTCCCTCCTGGCTGTGCCTTGTGTAGGATCGTGTCTTACAGGTCAGTGCCACCACAGCTTTGGAATAAGACTTGTGCATATTGCAGAATGGATACTTCTGTGCTGCTACTCAAGAGCTTCACAGCTTGAAATATAATTCTAATATAAAAATCTATGTATAAATCTAATCTATTTCTCTCTGTGTTTTACTCACAGTCACTAACTGGAAGAGCCTCCAGCCTTGTGAGGAAGTCTGGGATGGAGAAGGTCACTGCAGGTGCTCTGAGCAGCTCTTGCCAGTGCATGGGGCAGCTTGCCAACACCATCAAGCTTGAACCTCCTCCCCAGCCCAGCAGCACCTTCTGGCTGTGAGCCCTGCCCAGGCACCTGTGGGGTGGGGATGGGAGCTGAGGGGTGTCTCTCAGAGCACACCTGCACAGAGCTGCCAGCAGTGGCAGCCTGGAGGAAAATGTCACTCAGAGTGTTGGAGAAGTGCCCTTGCCTCATGGAGGAGCTTTCATCTGGAGGGCTTCACAGAGCATGAGGTGCCAGGCCTGCATCCCAGCTGCTGCCAGTGTTCACCTTCCCTCCCTGTGTTCCTAGTGCAGCCTTCTGGAGCATTATGGCACTATTTCTAAGGATTGATTCAGTCAGGAATTGCCCTGGTCTCCTCAGTCCCCTCCCTTGGCTGCACTCTCAACCTGTAACTTCTGTCCTCAGCCCTCCAGATTCTTCCCCTGGCTCTCTTTTACTGCCCTCACCCATGGAAGAAGAAAAAATTTATTCCTTAAATGTAATCGGAGAAAATTCTCCTAATAAGTCAAGGTAAATACATTATTTCCCACATAAACATTTTGTCCTGTGCTTCACTTTACATTTTACACTAGACCACGGTATTTCTAAGACTGCAGCCTCCCACAGAGGAGAAGATGTAGCCATTGGGCACAAATGGTGGCAAAAAGCAGAGATGTGGTGACCTCCAGAGGACTTCAGCTTTCTGCATAGCATGGAGCCTAATAAGGCTGGAGCTAATAAGTTATGTCATCCCAAAATATTATGTGCTAAGACATCACCAAAGTCTCTGCCTCTGTGATATGCCTTGACTGCAAACCAGACAATCTGTCTGTGGACATCAAAGTTTTTAATTCTTTCTCTCAGCAGCATCTAGGACATTTTTGATGCTATTGTAATACAAGGCTTGTGTTAGATCTCACACTATGTTATCATAACTTGTTAGACTCAGGCTGTTTTCTGTATTTCACCAGTTTAGGTGAAGGAAATCTAGTTTGTTAAGAATCTGATGCTCTTATTTCTGTATATTTATTCCAACTATCAGTTCTAGGACAAAATGCTGTAATTCCTATGATTTTATCTGTGGAGCAAAAGGCACGGATTTCATAGAAGTATCCGGGGAGTGATTGTTATCCTACTTAAGAAAGGAAGAGTACACTTTAGTGAGAAGGAATGTCTTAATTAGCTCTCAGCTCTAGTTTATTTAAGAACATGATGGGGGTTTTATGGTCTGTTTTTATGGTCATAGCTTTCCTGAGGCAATATTTAAGTGCTATGAATAGCAGAGGTAATTACAGAGGTAATTCATACACCATTCAAAAACAGCTAATGATTATTCTGTGAAATAAAGAATTCTTCATTTTATAATGCAATGAAAATTGTTAAATGTCATACAGAATTCATATTAGTAAACTTTCCTTGGTAATAAAATTGCAAGGTTTACCACCTGCTCCACATTCAGTCAAGCTTCCTCTGTTTTCATCCCTCTCTGTATCAGCAGGCTCTTTCCTTTCCTGCTTCCATTCTGAACACACTTTTTGTGTTTCTTATGCTTGTGAGTCTCTGCAGCCTCCAGGACCAGCACAGAAATCTTAATGGTTCATCTGTGTCTGCTTCTAATGTGAGTCCTCTGGGGTTTCAGTGCAAGCTTCTGACTTGTGATAAACATACATGAAAGACAGGCTTTGCACAAGGCTTAAAAATACTCTCAAATGTGTTATAGGACCACTAATGGTAAAGAAATAAATACATTCAAGTCGACACATGTAACATACTTGCCTTCCTGTTGTGATTTAACTGCAACTGGCAACTAAATGCCACACAGACACTTGCTAAGTTTCATGGTTATTCTGGGTATCGTGCAGAGGTCTGCTCATCTTTTCCCCTCTCCTGCCTTCTTAAGACATTTAACATCAACATTAAACTTCTTACACGGTGTTGGAGACAATTTTGGGATCCTACATGGTGTCGAGGACAGATGTGCCCTGTACCTCTTCGCTTTCTTGGCATTATAGGGGATTCAAAGGATCTTTCCAGGCCTATTATCCTTCACAAATACCTTTATTTTCTGCTGTCTAGGACAGTTTGTAGTTTATAGAAAGTCATTCCAAGTCAGCCATTTCTAGACAATTATCTTTAGCACACAAAGTGTCAGGTCAAAACAAATGCCATTTTTCCTTGGGTAGAGAGATCCTGAAAATGCAGAATCTGACATCTCAGAGCCTGTGCTGTGCTTGCTCCCTTTCCAAACATCCTGTCAGGCTGAGGTCAGCTTCTTTCCTCTCCTAGAGCGCACAGTTTAGGTCTGTTCCAGAGTGGAGTTAATTACTGATCCTTTTCCTTGGGTAGACAACTCATTTTCTTCCCCTTTTTCAGTTTGGCTGCATCCCATTATAACACTCTCTGGGAGACCAAAGAGTTCTCTGCAGTGTAGGGCTTATAGACTGCCTTCCACTCCTTTCTGATGGCATGTTGGATATCTTAGTATGTGATAGACATCTAAACCATCCACAAAACAGAAATATTTGAAGCCCTGTTACCAAGATTATTTGTCAAAAAATATTAGCTGAATATTTTCATATATATTTTTAACAAGTCCTGGAAGATTGCCTACAGTATATGTACATAGTATATGTACATCACATTATCAAAATGAGAAAAACAAGATTAGCATCAGAGGCCCGTGGGGATAAATTGACTTTAATACTTCTTCATATATTCAAAGGATTGGTGCTGGCATACAACACATACTGCAGAGTACATGAAATCTTGCAGGTCCTCCTCACATCCCAGTTCCATCCCCCTCTTTTTTTCCTGGGTTATAACAAGAGGCTCATTCAAAGAGGTAATATATTGGTCCCTCTCTGATTAAACACAAAATGCTGATTTTCTTCCATGGCATTAGTTTTTACCTTCATGGGCCTGCACAGACATTGCAGGCCATGTCCAGTGTCTGCTTCTGCAGAAATAAATGTTGAATAGTTTTTGTAAACCATTAAGTATCTTCCAGCTTCACACAGTGTTTACCTGTAAATCCAGCTCTCATAGGACATCTGTAGACACAAGAGCCAAAATTTATGATTTTAAAAAATCTTTACATAAGTCTTTTTGGCATACTCTCCTTTTGGCATATCCCATGTGGAGAAGAAAAATATACACATCTTTCCCTCATTACCACAAGATATTTATAAGCACCCTCATCTATTGCTTTATGTAGTCCCCTGTGGATAAGCATTTTTTTTTGTTTATTCCAGTAGTCAGCATAAATTTTGCAGAAATTATTATTTGGTGTTTTTCCTTCTAGCAATAAACAACTACAATTTCAACACTTTCCATCCCCTCCACTTATTTATGAAACTTTAGTTTTCTTTTGGAAATATTTATCCTACAAGTCATATAGTAATAAGTCATCTCATTCCACAATCATTTAGAAAGGTTGTTTTCAGAAAATGAGCAAAGCTCTTCTGGTGAGTGCCCATGTAAGGATGTGAGGCTGGCCCAAATGAAAAGCCTTTCAGATCAAATGGCCTCTTCCAATGTTTACAGCCTGGCATGAGCTCTGCAGCACCAGCCTTCTCCAACAGGTTCTTATCTCTGCAGATAAGTGAACCATGTCAGGTGGCTCAGCTTTCAGGTTTTAAAAATGAAATAAACATTTTTTTTCCTAAGACTGTGGATAAGAAATAGAAAGAAGGTGAAAGAGGAAAAGAATTCATTTGTTTCTGGCACTGGAAAACACAGATTGATACTTAGCTCTGTGTGTTCATATGATTTTTTAGGTACCTCTTCACATGTAGCACAAAGACATTGGTCAGATACAGGAAGAAATGTACTGAGTTGAAGAGAAACAAAACATTACATTATTTTGGCTCTGTAGTTACACAGACCAGAAATGAAAAAAAAAAAAAATCATCTAACTGTTGAATGGAAACTTTCTATATGTTTTTGATTACCTTGTGTTAACAGCTCTCCAGATTATCCTGTTTCCTATGCCAATTTGCATTGAATTTGCCGAAAGAATTTATGAGGTACTGTCTCATCTCTAGGCTGGGAGTTTCATCCATTTTCATTAGGCACACTGCATTTTGACAGGTACATTGTCTCTCGAGAAACTCACTCTTTCCAAGAATAATGCCTCTGATGACAAGTAAAGCTCACACCATTTTTAGATGGAGCTGTAAATCAACATTATATTCATTGTTTCACTGTAAGATAAAAATTCTGTTAATTTTAATTTTATTCTCTTCACCCATTCTTTTGTGTCCTTTTGTGTCTTTTTTTTGATACACTCCTGTATTAGCTGATTCTGCTTGTGACCTTCTTCCCCCTACCCCATGTAGCTTTTTGCTTGGGTGTCCTTGCTTGTCTGTGTTATGATTCCTTCCTCTTCCATGTTGTCCATGCTGTCCATGTGTGTTTTACTTTTAGATGTTGATGTTATTCTGGTGGCTTTCATTTCTAAACTGCAATACATAACTAACACTCCTTTTTGGGATGAAGCTAACGTTTTCCCCCAGTGAGAGAGATAAATTAAAAAATCACCAAGAAATCTTGAATTTGGAAAAGATGCAGAAAGATTGTTTTCCTTTGTGGAACTCTGTGATGAGGAGCTATAGCTTGTTGCTGTATGGACTGGGGTATGTTTTGTGTTTTGTCTTGTTTGCACAGAGGTCCTGCTGTTGCCTTAGCCAGCCCTACACACTGCTTGTATCGTTACTATGAATGCCTTAAGGTGATTAGAGTTTTGCTGAAGAGATCTGAGACAGTAATTCAGGAAATCAGAGGCAGATCAAACATGCCAGTGGCACTTCAAACACGGCACTTAAAGCAAATGCTTTAGTTTTTGTGTTTGCAGTGAAGCAAAGTTATGATCTTTGAAACCTCCAGAGGCGGGACCTCCTGCACTCAACATGCTAGCGCCAGATTTCTCTGGAGCTCTTCAACACCACCTGCATCTCTACCAAGTAAAGTGTTTAGGCTCATATTTGGAAGACTGCTCCATCATGCCTATACAATTAGATTTGCAAGCCAGGGAGCTGTCAGAGAGGTTTGATATGTGCTGTGTTTCCAGACGTGTTTCATACTGTGTTGGGTATGAGCACATTCTGAAAGACTCTCAACACAGCATAAAGGTCCCCATCTTATTAACAGCTTCTCTTCATCAGTTCTAAATTCCAAGAGATCTAAACTCTTCTGCTTTAATGCCCATTAAAGTTACATTCCTCCTTACTAACATGTTAATGCATATTAATTTACGTTCAGTTTGGACCCTTTGGTTATCACTGAAGTCTTCCAATTCTTAATTTAATTCTAATCATATTCTTCTCCCCTGAACTCTTTCCATCTCACCTTAGAATTTCACAGCTGGAACATCTTATATATTTGTACATGGATAAAGCAATTCTCGTGTACTTGATGGGCAAGCCATGAATTCTAGTAACCAAGGTTTTTCCGAAAGCTTGCAAATCAAATAGGAATTTTTTCAGCTTGATTTGAATTTTCTTTTGAGCCAACATAATGTAAGAGAAAGTAAAATTGATTTAGCAAGTTATTTAATACCTGTGGAGCTTAAAATATTTTAAGACAATTTCTGGTTGACTGAGTCATGTCGATAGAAATTCCAAGTCTGTTTAGAATACATAAAACTTGTGTGCATCCCAAATAAAGCCTAAAATTACATTGCTTATTTCCAGCTGGTTTTATATAGACTGCAATATAATAAATAAAAAAGCCTGAAATCTCAAAGGGAGTTATTAAAAAAAAATCTTATTCAGCTTTAGAAATTAATAATTCCTGCGACCACCTGTAGAAAGGTATACAGAATACCTTTAGTGCTTAGATTTCCAGAGAAGTTACCTGTACACCAAAAACACCAAAGAAGATTTGAGGTATTTAGGTTTAATTTGCTGTATGATGATGCTGTTTCTTCCACAGCAGTTTCCTGTGGAAACTACATGTCTTAGATAGATATATTATTACCAGGTTTAACTTCTAGTGCTCTTCTAGTATCCGGTGGGGTTATATAAAAACTAGAGGAAGGGAAAGCAAAAGGAATAAAAAAATAGAGACAGAGAAATCAGTTTAAATGTATTATTAGAAAAATGTAGGTAATAAAGTACAGCTGAAATATTTACATAAAATCAGAATTTTGCATTTACACACATGAGCATGAAAATCTGGATTGGATGAAAAATAATTACTTTGCATCTAAACGTTTTTGTAAAAAGAGAGTTAATCTGAGAACTGGTGTGAAAGTGAAACTTTTTCTTGAAACAGTATCCATGAAAGGCACAAGCACGTTGGGAGGCTCATCTCAGGGGAAAGCTCACTGACACAAAATCCAAACTGATGGGGAGAGCAACACTTCAACTGACAAAAACCAGAAGGTGCCCTATGAAATTTGGAAGTCCAAAGAGATTTTGGTTGATTTGGATCTTATTTGAATCTG